CCTTTCACGTCGAATCATAATCGAATGAAACGAAAGTGTGGAAAGGTCTAGTGTTGCGGAAAGTTTTATTTCTTTTCTCTTCTCCCTGTTTTTGAAAACTTTATTTTAAGAAAACATCCAATCCAGTTTAGTTGGTCCATGATATGGGTCCAATAGTGGTGTAGTTGGATGGGGCTTGCAAAGACCTTTCCAACGATATATTATAAGCCCAATTCCGATGAATATTGAGGAATTTATGGCCAATTTACTAAAGTGGGCCCGGTTTGAGCTTTAAGTACGGCCCAATGATCTAGGGGAGGGCCTAATATGATTTATCATTCCTAATGTAATTAGGAATGGTTTTGGTCTTCTAGAACGTTCTAGAAGGTTTTATCATTCTTAATTCAATTAGGACTCTTCAGAGTTTTAATTGGATCAAATAGCATTTTCGATTGAAATTATATTATTTTATCTTCCAGTACGGGAAATTTATCAGATTTTTGAAAACACGTTGAAAGCCGATTTGGCGTCCAACCCTAGGCCTTGGCGCCTGGAATCAGGATTGGCGCCAGACGCCAGCCATTGGCGCCTGGCGCTAGCCACTGGTCCTGGCGCCAATGAGTCAGGGCTGGCGCCAAGGTGATTTTGTGGTGTTCAGACTCTGTTTTGATAAATTATCTTTTTTGGCTGATTTTCTCTATAAATATCGTATTTAAAACTCTGTTTTCATTCACCAATGATCAATATTCATTGACCAATAATCAATTCTCTTCTTCATTCATCAACTCTTTTCATTAACAAATCGTTCACCAATTCTTTTCATCATCTTCATCTCTTTCATCAATAATTCTTAGCATTCATTCATTCTTCCTTTAATACTTTGCTTTTTAATACAAAATTCCGCATTCACAAGGTCTAGAAACACCTAGCCATATTCGAAGTTGCCTTCGCCCTAGACGTGAAAGGTTTTAATTTCTGAGGGTTTGGTCCCCAAATCTCTCTTTCAATTATTTAATTTAATTGTTTTGATTATTATTTTCCTTGAAGTTACTAACGTGTGTATTTTGTTATTAGAAAGAGGTACGAGGCATCAAAGTAAGTACGTTAATTGATTAATTGATTTACGATGTAGATATCATGTTTATGTTGTTGTTATGATTCCTAGTATCATGTCTAGGGTAATTTTAATATTAAATATGATTGCTATGATGCCTTTTATTCTCTTCCTAATATTTATTCATGTTAGTATCATGTTAGGGTTAAAGATTTGATTTTTATTGCTTAGTGACATGCTAGGGTTTGTTATTAATCTTGTTAGTATCATGCCTAGGATCTTGCTATGTTTATTATGCTTTAACATGATTATGATTATGATTGATATTATTATTATTAATGATGTTGATTATTTATAATGTTGCTTGATACGCATATTATTTTATTTGTTATTGCTTAATCACCTTTTTATTGCATGTTTGAAGGGAATTGGTATTTGCAATCACGCTTAATAAGATATTTAATAATCTTGTTTAGGTTAATTGTGATTATAATTCAAGTGATCGCCAATAATAGTTTATTTGTGCATTAATATTCAACCAACATAGATTAAACAGGTTTAGGGTTAATCCTATTGATTGTATGTTAGTCAGAAAACGCACATGAATACGATCAGAATAAAGTAGAGGCCTATTATTAGGGCAGGTTCAATCTCTTTTAGGTTGGATTTGTACCATCATCCCCGAACCCTTATTTGGTTCATGACCTTATGGAGTTGACGATCTCTTGGATCGTTAAGTGGTGTAACCTTCATCCTATGAACGGTTTACAAGTTCCTTAAAAACTTGTTGGCGACTCTTTTGCTCTATCTTCTTCCCTTTTTGAAGCCACCGTATTTTAGTGTATGATCAAAGTGGGGTTTAAGTTAGTGGGATTTAAAGGCTTGAAACTATTCCCTACAGTACCCCATCTGGATTTTCTGAAGGATGAGGCGTTTCTTTCTGCCTGTGATCTTAGCACCATGTTTCCAAAGGGTAGAATTACTATACATCTGGTAATTTGTCGCCTCTATTGATGCACTGGCCGTTTGATCATTTTATTGATTTAAATGTTCTTGTCTTTTACAGAAGAAGCACTAACCATGGTAGATGTCAATAAAACGCCTGCAAAATTGGCTGCCCTGCTGAGGAAGGAATAACTGCTGCAGAAGAAGGCGGCCTTAAATTCCAAAGAGGCTAAGAAGGATGGGGTAAGACCGCCTGCCATACTTCCTAGATTTTTTGCTTTAACATAGTGATTTGCCAGTTGTAACCCCTCTTATTCATTTGCAGAGTGGCAGTAGAACCATTCCCCGTTCTATAAGAAACATGCTCAAGCGGTTAGGGAAGAGTTAAACAAGACCCCAACTAAGTGAGTAAAGAAAAACTTCTCCCAGGCCGTCTCTTTGGCCAACCCAGGTCGACCTACAACCGGGGGTAAAGGCTCGGTTGTGATGAAGGCTCTGAGCGAAAGCTCGGAGCGCGCTGGGAAATTGCCGAACGCCTCTACGGCGTCGAAGAGTGGCATGCTATTCAATGCTGTAGACGGTGCTGCAATGGCTGGGGAAGGGGAGACCTCCTAGCTTAAAGTCCAAGGTAAGCCTAGTATTAAACTCCCTTGGCCGCTTGACTATGTGCGAGTCAAGACTCGAGTTAGCCCCTCTAGAGGTTTGATAAGCAGCCGGCAAAAATTGGATACCACTTATGCTGCTTTCTCACCAAGTACTTCTTACGGTGCAGATGCTACCTTAGAGCCGCCTGATGTACAGGCATTTGCCAAGAGGATGGTAAGCTCTCTGACTAGATAAGAGAAAAGCTTAGTGCCTAATATGTAGGTAGTGGACTTCGACCAAATCCAGGGCCTGCTGGCTGAGGTAACCCAATGTTCATTTGGTACTTCATTCAATTTTTCCTTTTTTAGTTTATTCAAGTGCTTAACTTGCCGCATGCCCCCTTTAGGCAATGCTGAGGGTAGAAGGGCTAAAGGTCCCCTTCAGGCGAGAGCAAGACAAGGTAAACGATGCTAAACAGAGTGCCTCTAAAGCTCTCCACTCTACTGAACACAGTAAAATAATGTGTGACGCATAAATTAAAGCAGAAGAGTTGAAACAAGAGGAGCTAATAAAGAGTCTGACGGCTGCAACTGACGTCGCCAACGCCAAAGTACCCGACCTTGAGTTGGAGTAAAAGAACGCCAAATCTGACCTTACGGCGTTGGGGGAGGCGGACAAGGAGAATACCCAGCTGAGGGAAGATGCCAGCCGGCTTAGGCTTGAGATAGTTCCAATGAGGAGCAATCACCAAGAGGAGCTCTCCAAGGAGTAGAGCCAGCTGGTGGCGGAGAATGAGCGGAACACTAAGGCCCGCCTAAAGCTTTCCTAGAACCTTCTCCACCCAAACGTTGAGTTTGAGTACTTCAAGCTGAGATACGACTACGCCACTGCGGTGTATGATGCTGAAGTCTTTAAGGAGCAAGCCCCGCCTCCATTTAAAGAATGTGCCTTGGATCAAGGCTTTGAGGTTTCTGATGGGGAGGAGGAGAGGGTCAAGGACCAAGTCGACCAAGTCCAAACTTGCCAAGTCTCAGTTGATCAAATCCCTCTTAGACAGACTGAGGCAAAGCTCACTGCCGGCCAAGACTAGCCGAAGCAAACCCAGCAACCTTAGTTCAGCCAAACTTGTATTTGTTCTACGAAAGTATGCCATCTTTGTTTTCTTCGGCATGTGATCCGTGTATGTTTGTATTTTACCAACTGAGGAGTTGGGTAACAATTTCTCTTTTCTTGCTTTTCTCCGGATGTATATCCGGTTAACAATATCACCCGACCTTTTGGCCGATTTTGGAATAATGAAGTTTGTTGACTAAGCCGGTTTGTTCAATTGGTTTTGATTTTTGCACTTAATTTCTGCATACGTATATGTATAGGATAGCTCCCGCAGAACTATCGCCCAACCCCCAGGGTGCACACTCACCACCGAATAAGCAACTAAAGGAGATAGTACGCCTATAAATAGAGGGTAAAGTACAACGGAAAAAAGGTTAGACACTCAAGTTATTACACTTTCTATATCTCTCTAAGTACACTTTCTCTCTCTAAGCACTCTCTAACTTAAGCTTCGGAGGGGGGTTCCTCGAGCCACCCCCGAGGGCAGTTTACGTGTGCTGCCGTGTGTAGATTGTTGACGGGACCCAGCTTACCTAGCAGAACCCTTGGATCCATACCTGGAACAATTGGCGCTAGAAGGAGGGGATTGGATCATCTAACATGAGGTTCACCAACTGAGCTAGGGACTAGTTAACTAACCACCATGGCCGGAGAAGATACTGTACAAACACCCGCGTCCAAAACTAATGAGACCAGCCAAACACCCCCAGTAACCAGCGATCCAAAAGGATCCACCGGAAACCCCTAATCGACCATCTCACAGAAATCCAACCCCATCGGATCGACATCAGCCACTGCTAAAGCAGCGGCGAAACCAGTAGATCTGGTAGGATCCATCTCTATTTTCAAGTACGGAATGCCGTTAACAGGCGCGAACAATGAGCTTATTGTTTCAGCACCTGTAAACCAGAAACCGCAACCCGTAAATATGCAAGCCATTCTGCAGAGCCTCTCTAAGTGTAGCTAGGAGCAGCTGGCTGCAATGACAGCGGTCCTTACCAATATAGGTAAGGGGGCAAGCCCATCATCGACAACGGCAGCTGCGGAGCCCGCAGCGAAAAAGCCGGAAGTCTCAACTCTCACCCTCGAGCAGAAAGAGCTCATTCACCTGAGGAAAAAGGTATTGGAGCTGGAAGCTCGCAACCTGAATCGAGAATAGAGCGTGGAGGAAATAACCCCCGCTCGAATCAGCCCGGAGAAGCGGGTCCCTCGGAGTAGGTCATCGGCCGCAGAGCGAGGACCCAGCCCGGAGAGAGACAAACGAGTGCGAATCCAGGTTGTTCCAGATGATTCCCCATTTTGCCGGGAGATTCTGGAAGAACCCATGGAGAAGGTGAAGATGCCGAGCTGTAAGTACAATGGAACCACAACACCCCAAAGCCACATATCAGCTTTCGAGAATCATATGGTACTCTACATCATGACAGACTCAGTCTGGTGTAAGGCTTTCCCACCAACTCTGGAGGGGCTGGTAGCGGAATGGTACGGCGCCATCCCCAAATGTTCTGTGTACTCGTACAACCAGCTGAAGAGAATGTTCTTGGAGCATTTCATAACCTTGGTGGACAGAACCAAGATGACAACCGAGCTAATGTCCCTGGTTCAGGGAAAGGATGAGCCCCTAAGGGAGTTCATCACCAGATTCAACAAGAAGGCAACAACCATCCCAAATATGAGCCAGGAGGTAGCGCTGTTAGCAATGCAGAGTGGCCTACTACCAGGGTCACCATTCAGAGCATACATGGGGCGTAAGAGCCTCAAAACTCTCGCTGAAGCGCTGGGTAAAGGGCATGAGTTCATCAAAGCAGACGAGATTGACAGAGTAATGCTGGGTAGGAAAGCAACAGGTGACTCAGTTAAGCGGGCAGAGGTCACCCGGGCAGAGAACACACCCAGGGTGGACCAGCCAAGCAGGGCTGAGCAAAACCGCAGAGAAGCGGACAGGGTAGTGGGACTGAGATGGTCCGATCCAAGGAGAGGGCCAAGGCCTGGGAAGTTTGATCAGTATACCCTACTAACTCATTCCAGATCTCACATATTCAGCGTAAATAAAGCTGATGATAAGTGGCAGAGGCCTCCAAGGATGGTAAACAGGAGTCGTGATACCAGTAAGTGGTGTGACTTTCACAGGGACTATGGCCATACCACTGAGGAATGCACGCACTTGAAGGACAACATAGAGGACTTAGTCAGGAGAGGATACTTGAGTCAATTTAAGCAGCGTGATGACCCTCCCAGAAGAATGGAGGAGGATAGAGCGGGCCGAGCTGACCGCAGAGGAGGTCATAAGGGCCTAGCTGGAGACAAGGATAGAGATGGCAAGCCAGAGGGTAGGGTGTACGTGATCAGCAGGAGTCCAGTACATGGGGGGGGGGACAGTTAATAGAGTGCGGGCTGACCTGCGAGCAATGATACATCAAATAAACGACAATGATAAGCGTAGATGGCCACCTCTTCCCCCGCAGCCACGAGCCATGTTTGACGAGTATGACCAGAAGGGCATAATTTACCCTCATGATGACCCCCTGGTGGTGACAATGAGAATCGCAAACTGGGAGGTGGATAGAATACTGATAGACGGAGGCAGCTCAGACAACATCATATACATCAGTGCGTTCAATGAGCTGAAAATGGACAGAAAAGACCTGAGGAGAGTAAACTACGAGGTCACCGGGTTTAATGGCTTGGGGCTTACCCCAGAAGGCATAATCGAACTCTCAGTCCAGGTAGGAGAGAGGTCAAGAAGGCGTGATGTCCGAGCAGAATTTCTCGTGATAAACTCCCCTTCACCCTACAATGTAATCATGGGAAGACCGCTAATCCACAAGATAGGCGGGGTGGTATCCACTTACCACCTGGCCATGGCTTACACAACTAATGAGGGTCGGTCAGCAAAGCTCAGGGAAAGCCAGAAGACAACCCAACAATGTTACATAACTGCCTTAAAGCAGCCTGCCAAAACCAGGAAGCAGTGCGGTTCCGAGAGAAGGCTCCTTGAGCAACCTGAGAGGAAGTCGAGGAAAAGGAAGCGTGAAGAGTATCACAGGGAAAAAGATAAACATAAGTTGGCAATGGAAAACTTCGAGCCTGCAAAAGAAGAAATGGCCAGACCACTTCCCAGCGGGGAGCATGTCACAGTCGAGCTCACAGAAGGTGATCCCTCGAGGACGGTGAAGATTGGGAAAGACATTGATCTAGGAGTAGGGGTGCACCTCATAGAGCTGCTGAGAAAGAATAAAGACATTTTTGCATTTTCCGCAGATGGGATGCCCGGAATTGACCCAGCAGTCATGGTGCATAAGCTGAATGTGAAGGAGGATATTAGGCCAGTCAGGCAGAAAAAGCGAAGCTTCTCCATGGAGAAAAACCAGGCAATACAGGAAGAGGTGGAAAAACTCTTGGAAGTAGGATTTATTGAACCCTGTGGCTATCAAGAATGGTTAGCCAACGTGGTTATGGTGAAGAAGGAAAATGGTCAATGAAGAATGTGTGTTGATTTCACGGATCTTAATAAAGCCTGCCCGAAGGACTGTTACCCACTGCCACAGATGGATCAACTGGTAGACTCAACCAGCGGGCACGCCCTGCTAAGCTTCATGGACGCCTTCTCAGGGTACCATCAGATCAGCCTGCACGAGCCAGACAGGCAAAAAACTGCATTCATTACCGAAGGGGGAGTGTATAATTACATAGTTGTGCCCTTCGGGCTGAAGAACGCTGGAGCAACTTTTCATAAGGCAATAGATAAAGTGTTCCTTCACCATAAGGGAAGAAATGTGGAAGTATACGTTGACAACTCAATTGTTAAGAGCATCACGCAGGCTGAACATATCATGGATCTGGAGGAAACACTTGCCACCCTGAACAAGTATAGAATCAAGCTCAACCCGAAGAAATGTGTCTTTGGAGTGAGCTCCGGAAAGTTCTTGGGTTTTCTGATCAGCGAGAGAGGAATAGATGCCAACCCAGAAAAGGTCGAAGCAGTCCTCAGTCTGCCTGAGCCTAAGAGCATCAAAGATATCATGCGGTTGACAGGCAGAATGGTTGCGCTGACCAGATTTATCAGCAAGTCAGCAGACAAAGCCTTGCCATTCTATCAGCTGTTGAAAGGAAACAGAGAATTCAAGTGGGGGGCTAAGGAGAAAGAAGCCTTTGAGGGTATTAAGGAGCATCTGACTAAACTCCCAACAATAATCAGCCCGGAGCTGAGGGAAAAACTGCAGTTGTACATCTCAGCGTCAATACAGACAATCGCAATCGTTCTGCTGGTAGAAAGACAGAAGCAACAAAGGCTGATATATTTCGTGAGCCACGTGCTGACCGAGGCAGAGCAAAGATACCCCCCGGTAGAGAAGCTAGCCTTCGCAGTGGTCACAACAGCAAGAAAGCTAAAACCATATTTTGGCGTGCATATAATAGAGGTCCTCATAAATCACCCGCTGGAGAAAGCATTACAAAAGATGGATGCATCGGGTAGACTCTTAAAGTGGGCAATCGAGCTTTCTGAGTATGAATTCGAGGTAAAGCCTAGAGCAGCCATCAAGGCACAAGCTTTAGCAAACTTCATAGTGGAAGCCTCCTATGAGGAGAAAGAGGATGACATTGGGGTCTGGAAGGTGGAAGTGGATGGATCCTCAGCCCAAACAGGGAGTGGGGCAGGAGTCATAATGACGTCTCCAGAAGGAAACGTATTTGAGTATGCCATCAAGTTCAAGTTCAAAGCGTCTAATAATGAAGCATAGTACGAGGCGACGCTGGCAGGCCTGCGTATGAGCCTCGCAGCCGGAGCCCGTAAAGTACACCTGCAGACTGATTCTCAGCTCGTTGCCAGCCAACTGCAGGGGGCGTATGAGATAAGGGAAGCCACTATGATGAAAATGTAACCAAAGTGAAAGAGCTGGCAGCCCAGCTAGTCCATTTCCAGATAGACTTGGTCCCTAGAGCAGGAAACTCTCAGGCTGACGCCTTATCTAAGTTAGCCAGCTCCACCTTACAAAGCCTCACGAGAACAGTGATGGTCGAAGTGTTAGAGGAAAGCAGCATCGCTGAAAAGGAGCAGGTAAACTGCGTCAGGAGTCAAAGAGCCTGGTTCTCAGACATCTTGGCGTACAAACTTCATGGCTCGCTGCCTGATGATGAAGTACAGGCTAAAAAGGTGAAGAAAGACGCAAATTTGTATGTAGTGATGAATGGAGAGCTCAACAAGAAAGGCTTCTCAAAGCCGCTGCTGAGGTGTATTCCAGAATGGGAGAAGGAGGGCATTATGGAAGAAGCCCACTCCGGAATATGTGCAACCATATTGGCGGGAAAGCATTGGGAGTAGAGGTCCTTAGAAGAGGGGCATATTGGCCAACTCTCACGCAAGACGCACTAGCATATGTCAAAAAATGCGACAAGTATAAAAAATATTCACCAGTCATAAATCAGCCAGCAAACGATCTGACTCCAATCCTCAGCCCGATCCCGTTCGCTCAGTGGGGAATGGACATATTGGGACCTTTCACCACTGGGTCAGCGGGCAGGAAGTATCTCATTGTGGCAGTAGATTACTTTACAAAGTGGATAGAAGCTGAGCCCACCAAGTACATAAAGGCAATCCAGGTCAGAACATTTATATGCAAGAGAATCATCACTAGATTCGGGATGCCACGGTGCATAGTCTTTGATCGTGGGTGCCAATTTGACTGTGACACCATAAAGGACTACCTGGGGGATATGGGCACCAAGTATGCAAGTGCCTCAGTCTGCCACCCGCAGAGAAATGGCCAAGCAGAAGCAGCAAACAAGCTGATCCTGACAGCCCTACAGAAGAAGCTGGAGGAGTACAAGGGCCTGTGGGCAGACTTAGTCTCAGAGGTCTTGTGGGCAAATAGGACCACTGAGAAGGAGTCAACCGGTAAAAGCCCTTTCACCCTAGCCTACGGGGTTGATGCAGTTGTCCATGTGGAAGTGCAAATCCCCAGCCTGAGGATACAGCAATATGAGCAGCAAGGAAATGAAAAGCGCATGCTGGAAGAGCTAGACTTCCTGCCAGAAGTAAGGCTAAAAGCAGCCCTTAAGCTGGCAGCCTAAAAGAACAAGATCTCAAAAGCTTTCAACAAAAGGGTCAAGCACAGGGAGATCCTGCCAGGAGACTTAGTCCTCAGGAGGACAACAGCAGTTGGAAGAGGAAATCAGCATGGAAAGCTGTCAACAAACTAGGAAGGCCCTTTCATCATCCACGAGCAGGTTGGACCAGGCGCATTCCTCCTTGCAAATCAAGAAGGTCAGGTCTTAAGAAACAGTTTCAATGTTGATGTGTTAAAGAAATATTTTGTTTAAATAGCCTGAAACATAGCTGTTTCAAGTCGATAAACCTTTATTCAGTCCATGTTATGTTAATTAAGGCATTTGAGCCATTTTTATTCAATGAAATACAAGCCTCTGCGTGAGGAGTATGTTGCATAAATTTGTTTAATATAGTATGCCCAAGCATCATATACTAACATGCAGAAATCAAACAAGAATAATAATAAAGTGTTACAGGCAAGAAGCACTCTACCGCAAAATGACAAAGTGAAAGCATCCCTCCTTAAAACCTCACTTCACCTGCAAAAAGCAAAACAGGGCACCACCTCGAGGACGCCTGAGGAGGAGCCTGACACGTTCAGCTTGAGCAGGGGAGAAGAGAGGAAAAGAAGAAGATGAGCTACATGGGCAACACTAAGGTTCTCTTAGTCCCATACAACCCATCTCTTCGAGGGGGAGAGGAAAGGAGAAAACAGTCAAGTAGTAAGCCCTTACAAAAAGAAGTAAGCAGGCAATAAACAAGCTGAATGACATAAATAAGTCGCAGCATAAACAAGCTGAATGACATAAATAAGTCGCAGCATAAACAAGCTGAACGACATAAATAAGTCGCAGCATAAACAACCTGAACGACATAAACAAGTCGCAGCATAGACAAGTTGAACGACACAAATAAGTCACAGCAAAGCAAGCTAATGACACAGACGAAATAAGTAAAAAGTTGATCGACACAAACAAGTCTCAGCAAGGATAATCAAATAGCGCTCAATCAAATATGTCAACCAGCACGCAGACGAAGCCTTTGGGCAAAGCCAAGTGAAGTACACAACGCATAAACACTTGAAGCAAATAAAGTAGGAAGGACAAAATGTAACAAATTCCCTGCTGAAGCACAGCAGAGCGCAAAAGAAACAGAAAAGTGTTAGGCAGCAAAATTAAAAGACAGGAAGGCCCAACCTACGAGGCCCCACCAAACGTAATAAAGATCAAGCATGCAAACAATGAAGAAAACAGCAAGAAAAACAGTAAGAGGATATCATAAGGAACATACATTATAAGGCTAAACCCCTGCCCACCAAGGCAGAGTAAACATTC